GTCCTTGCAGAGAAGAGGAAGGAGGATACTAGTGGGGGACAACGAAGGGATTAGAGTTGTTCAGTATAATAAGAAGGGTGAAAGCGTGTGTGTCCGAAAGTCTTGGTTTTTAGAATATTAAACTTGTTTTGCCAAATTCAGATGATAAATACAACTTTTAAGCTTGCAAAGGCATAATTACACGCGGTAACTTAACGTCACAGCAGGCATAACAACAGCCGGTGTTTCTTGTGAGTGTTTCCCAATACACACAAACGCGTCACAGATTATTTTTGCGGTATTTGGCTGCCGAACGAAATTATGTACGCAGCTCGCGACGTAACTAGCAGTCTAGTGGACGGGATCAGTACTACAAGTAAAACAAAATATATATATATATATTTTTTTAATTAATTACGTTTATAAATTAATCTGAGGGCCGCCATTTGCCCATCCCTGATCTACATGTTCCCTATATGTTTTATATTTAGCTTTTTGTTCCACATCTGTTTCTGCTTTGCTGCACCTCTGATGTAGATTTAAATTACCAGACCAGTTGTTTTTTGTTTACTTTTCATGATTACATCCCATTGTAAACACTTGGGATGAATGCAGTTTATTTCCCCTGTAGATTTTATTGTTAATAAATGCTGCTTAATTATAATTGAACAAACATGTGAGGCGAATGTCTCAGGAAGCTAAAGGCATTGCTGATTTCAATATAAGGACCCCTCTGTTAACATTTAGAGGCACTGTGTGTGTGTGTGTGTGTGTGTGTGTGTGTGTGTGTGTGTGTGTGTGTGTGTGTGTGTGTGTGTGATCATAATACTTGGTCCTAACGGCAGTTCAAGTAAAGTCCACAAAGTGTATAGGTAAGTTAAAAAGACTTCTGAACCCTGCTGCTCATCTCTGCTTGAGGCTCTAGGCAATATTATACACGAAGACATAATACCCCTGAATCTTTTACAGAACTTTCAGATGTACAGTTGCATTATGGGCAATGTAGGTGCCATTTTTCAACACAGTGTGTGTGGACTGAAAAAAACACTGTTCAGGTCCCGCTTTGTATTTGTGAAAACTCCCTTTCAAGTACAATAATATTTGTGAGTGCTCTGCTGAATCAATAGAGCGCTCTATTAACTCCAGTGTTTAATACCTTCTGTTAAATGATTTCGAAATGACGAAGGTCAGGAGTTCTGCACCATAAATCCCACCCCTCAGTTGTAAAGTTGTTAAAATACTGCAGATAAAACCAAAACGATGTAATGAGTGTGGACACTAAAAGGCTTTGAAGATAAAACAGGAAAGGACAAAGCTTTAGAACTTGAAAGCTTGGATTTATATTTTTTCGCAGAATGCTATCTCAAATTACATCTTCCTCCCAGCATCTGGTTACTTCAAGTCGAAGGAAGCTCCAGGCTAACAGTTCCCTATAAATTATTACTTCAGTTGGCCGTGTATCCTTCTTTACTACTGAAGCTTTTTCAGAACCATTCCTCTTAAGACTGATGGCATATGTATGGAAGCAAGTGGCCTCTTCTCTGCCTTTATTTAGAACATAACAGAAAAGATAAATATAGTACGCCACATCGTTTTTACTCCCCACCGGCAGAGCTTGGAAAGATAAAGGTCAATTGCGTTATATAAATTGTGTTGACCTTACCTGATCTGTCCATTATCACTGTGAGAGCAGCAGCCAATTGGATTAAGTCCATAATAACAGCTCTATGCTACTGTTTTGATTATTTCTGTTTGCCTCCATTGAACGCCCAGCTGTTACAGGTTATATCACTTTCAAAAGCTCAATTTGTGCGTGTGTATACGTGTTAGTGAGTTTACTCTTCAGGCAGGGGTCCAGAGCACATCTCGGCTGCTATGGCAACTAGGCTGGCGCTCACTGCTGCCTCATGGCAAGAGCACAACAAATGGATAGACGCACCAACACACACACTGGAGATATCGCCACAGCGCTGCTCCAGTTACACACACTGCAGGGAGACTCAGTTTTCTGCTTAATTACCCAGCATTCAACGCTAGGGAACAAGGAAAGACTGGGGTCAATATGACATAAAGATAACATGGCAGTGAGGCGATTTTAATAGCAACGACGGATGCGGATGCATTAAGTCAGCTGAACCTGTGGTTAAGTATGGGAAGGAAGTGACCTTTGACACGAGAGACTAGCAGTGTAGCAGTGATTGATAAAAGCACTAAAAATAACTTCCTCTTCAACAGAGTCTTATTTAATTTTCAATAAGTACTGCCAATTTGTAAGGCAGTTTCCTGTCAGTACAGTGTTGAAAGTAATAAGAAATCCGGTACCATAAAATAAACATTAACTGTTCCTTCCTTCCTTATCAGAAAATATGAATAATGGAGTGTTCATCGCTCTACAAACCAATATGTTTCTGTCTGGTTGACTCACTTCCATCACTTATTCAGCGCCGCTGATCCCAAAACCACGATGTGTTGATATTACCCGTGGCAGCTGTGCTAATGCAGTACGCTCTCGTGGCAGCCATTCTCCTCTGCTAATATGCAAACCATTCAATGTACCTTCCAGATGTGTCATAGTAATTAGTCTGTTTGTTTGCTGATTATGTTAACTGCCCACATCTCCTCTGTTGTTATTACTGGCAAAAACAACAAGGAAATAACACACAGGCGAAATAAAAATGCACACTAAATAAAACTGTTATTTCCGATGGGCTGAAAGAATGTATCAAAAATCAATCCTCTCTAAGCCTCCCATAACCAGAGCGGGCTCACCGGTGCCTCAGCTTTTCAAAGTCATTCCTTTCCATTGATGTGGATATCAATATGGGATCTGGGTAGTCTTAGTGATGTTTCATTTTTATATTCGGGCGCCTCTTTGTGTATGGATCTTTGTGCGAGCCACAATGACGTTTCATTCAATCTCTTACCTTTCTTCACTATCAATTTCAAAACTCATCATCAAACAATGATTTGAAGTATTTGGTTTTCTGTTCCTTTCGAACCAGAATCCAGACTGAAAGGTTATTTGTAGATTGTGATGCAGCCTGACTGTTTTTGGTATCTGACACCCTTGCCTCTGTGTGCAGCCATGGTGGCTTTCCCTGCTCAGTACATTACCAAGGTGTTCAAGACTGCGTAGAAGTCAAGTTGTTTTTTGGAGAGAAATCCACCAGAAGAAACACGACAAGAACTGCTTTTATCCTGGGTTTGTCAGATTGCAAACCAATCCTATAAAAATACCAAAACCAACAATGTGTCAGGCAGTGTGTCGATATATATCATATCCTGTCTTTCAGCCACAAGCTCATCAGTGACCACTGAAGACATGGACACAAATATCGGTTTTATATTTAGCGTAACCAGAAGCTCGACTCTGGGGAAGACAATTTCAATCTGATGATTGACATTTGGTACCGATATAATGCTGCCTAGAGGATTGGTGGTTACCTTATATTTGTCCAGTGCCCACATGTCAAAGCTTTCACTGATGCAGTGGGTTCAAATTAAATCACAATCAATCCTAATGACTTTGTTTAACAAGACTTTCCCTCCAATGGCACCATGATGTCAACATTTGTGATTTGGAGTAAAATGTCTCTAAAACAAATATATATAGATTGCCATAAAATTTGGTACACATATTCAGCTCAAGATGATTCGTAAAAACTGATGGGTCTGCTTCAGCGGACAAATTTGAACATTTAAATCAGTTGCCTCAGGCACATCGTGTCAATTTGCAGAATATTGCCAAGCTGTTAGTCTCTCCAACAAGGACTCGCGGTCCCTCAGCGAGCTGAAGTGTGTGACAGCCCAGGAGGTGCCAACAAATCCCCAGATGATGCAGAGCTATTGCTATGTGTCCTCCGGAAAGAGGAAACTGAAATGTGCATGCATCACCACCTGTCGAAACATCAAGGATTACAGAGAAAAATGCCCTTGCATTTTGCTACTCTGGATTTATTTCCAGGCGCACAACAGGAAAGCATTGGGAACATTTGATTACATTTTTTCAATCATTCAGCCATCTGTTGTAACAGGAAAGGCAGTTAGCAACAAAAATGTAGTTAAAGGAAGTCTTGTATCCCAAGAGCCTCTGCACCCTGGTAAGTGTGACTTTGATTAAACATTCAGGGGGAAAAAGGGCGATAAAAACTTGTAGGTCTATAGGGTTATAATTATCTGGGTTTTTATGATAGTGAATTCATTGCTGAAGAGACACAAGGGCAATGTTGTATCCATATTTCCTGGCAACAAGACACTCACAACATAAAAGTAAAATACTAAAGGCGACTTTAATCAGCCTATAGATCAAAAGATCAGCCTATATTTTATAAAATGTAAAGCAAAGCAAGGAAAGAACATTTTCAACCTCAAATATTTAATTTAGTGGACCTGCTAAAGGGTAACTGGATGTGACATCATCCATCTCTGCTGCCTAAAAATATTTCTTGCCTTCAGGAAGCATTAGCATTATCATATGTGCCCTCTTTAACAAAGGAGGAAGGCAGCCTCCCATTGTTTAGTGCTTCTATATTTGCATTTGAGGAAGAATATGTATGTATGAGTTTGTGTGTGTGTGTGTGTGTGTGTGTGTGTGTGTGTGTGTGTGTGTGTGTGTGTGTGTGTGTGTGTGTGTGTGTGTGTGTGTGTGTGTGTGTGTTGTTCAAACAGCTGTGGAGCATATGATAATTCAGGATGACCCATCCAGACCTTTGCTTATTATTTTGTATGCAGGGGACGAAGAAAGAAAGAGAAAGGAATTAGGTGTGTGTGTGTGTGTGTGTGTGTGTGTGTGTGTGTGTGTGTGTGTGTGTGTGTGTGTGTGTGTGTGTGTGTGTGTGTGTGTGTGTGTGTGTGTGTGTGTGTGTGTGTGTGTTCATATAGCTACTAGATACTGTTGCCTCTAACTGACCCCTAAGTGTAGCTCCTATGTGTGAATCCTTGCGTAGGAATCAGTCTTGGTTGAACACATAAAAACACCTTTCAGTGAAAATACAATTTATTTTAAACATTTACCAATAAATTGCTTTGGAACCAGTATATGAAATACTCTGGTAAAATTCCTTCACACCAAAGGGCTCCATCAATGTCGATGTTTCATCATTCAAAATGTGTTGCATTTAAGGTAGCACAGAGAGTGTTTGAAGTACATGGACTAATCTGGTCAAATGTATTAGGCATCATAAAAGCTCACATACTGAAAATAGAAACAGCAATGTCTTCAGATATTCAGTTCTGGACGACACACATGTTGATAACAAAATATGCTGAGACATTATTACTATGTTGCTCAGTAGCTGAATTCCTGAATTCCAAACTGCAATCATTAGCACATGGTTAATATCATCCCAGAGAAAATAAATAAATATAAAAGCAACACGTGGGGCTGTAGCAGAAAACAGTATGGCTCACATTTTAAATTCCAACCAAAGCAGAGAAGCTAATAGGCTTTCTTGCCTGCAAACTTATTAGCAGTGAATTTTTGTCCGGCTGCCCTTTCAGCAAGGACAAGATGTGCGTTTAAATGTTTTTTAGGGAAGCTACGAAACTAAGCTAGATGTGGGTTGTTGATAAAGAGCGGATATGTATTCTGTAACAGACAAGAAAATGTTACTTAAGCTCGGTTGGACTTTAATTTTAAAGCTTGACGGATTTACAGATAGCACAAGATAAATGCATTGATTTACTGATTGCTGGAATACAATGGCAGTCTGATACACTCTTTTAAACTGATATCTGTCTAAAATATAGTTTTTTCCAAAAGTAAAGAGCCAATCGCTATTCTCTTCATTAGGCTAAGTCATTTATCAAACTGGAATTCCTAAGATATGATTATTCTTTGTCATCATTTCATAGAATATCATTGAAAATAAACATTAGTTACAGCCCTGATTTATCATCATTTTGGCTGTCTTCTAGTTTATTAGTATTCACATATTAGGACTTCCTCTAATACTGAATAGGTTTGTGGATAGGTCTACGGAAATGAACAACACATGGATAATACAACGCATATCCTGAGTGAAGTCAATAGATGAAAAAAACTCAATATGCCTGTAGCACAGCCAAAGATAAAGATTGTTACTTGTAGTTTTCAGTAGCGGACATTACACTTTGCTGAAGTTCACGGGGATAGGGCAGCAACATTGTGACTGCAGAACAATATTGACGTTTTAGCAACTGGTTTTGTCCGACCTATGTGGATCTCTAGCAAACAAACAATAAACACCTTTAAAACAAATACTTCACCACTATATCTATGTGTTTTGGACATTGTCACTGCAGTCAATCATGGTCTTTGTAATGTTAACACAATTACTATCATTTGAATATGCCATCAGTCTATACAACCAAATGACGCTCTTTGTAGTTTTGTTTTCAAAGGTTTCCTACAAGCAAAGATCATTAAAACAACTTTTATGTCTCTGATTCTATCCTTTCTGATAATAAACTGCTCCTGCGAATTTTGCAGTTTGTGCCTAGATCTTTGTTATAAAAGATTCATCTTTGCATCACAGCCACCTGCTGGGAAAGAAACCAGCTCGAAGCGCTTTCAGCATGTCCTTGAATGAAAACTTGTAACACTTAACGAAAAGCATTTTCCAAAACCTGTTATAATGAAACAGCAGGGAAGTCTCAGGGTTGAGAACCTGTTGAATTAAATTTTAGAACTGCACTTTTATAAAGTAGAATTGTAATGTTATGTAAATCATTGTAATGATCCCTGTAGGGAGCATCTCTTTCCAGGGAAGTCACAGGTCAGGGTCAGATACAGAACAGCACCTCTAGACCTGGCACAGCAGGCATTCAGCCGAGCCCTGAACCTTTGATTTTTCAAGATGGTCCATCACCCCTTGCTTTCCAAAAAGTGTCCTTTAAACCACATTTGAGCTTATCCTTTCCCGGGTACAGCTGTTGAACTCATCAGTTTCCCCCTGACACAAGCGCACTGTACTCTCAAACAGTCTGGAGAGCCGTTTACAGAACAAGACCGGCAACCTTCAGTTCAGCCTCTTCAGAACCGAGTCTCGGAGCTGCCCCTCTTCAGCGAGCTGCTGTTAAAGTCGTCACGCTCAAAACTCAGATTATTATGCGACCTGGATATCATTAGCAGCTTGTCCCGCTTGCTGTAGTCGCGCCTCACAGCCGCATCTAACAGCCGCTCGCCTTGGTCCTCCCTGTCCTCCAGCCGTGTGTAGCCTTTACTGCTTAGGCGGTTGCCCCCGTTGCTACGGCAGCTGTTGCTACGGTCGAGGCGGGGCCAGCTGGGGTGTTTCCGCTGCTCCGGGTGAACGCTGAGCATGCTCGGCCCGCGCTCCAGGTCCAGAGATTTGGAGTGGCTGCCGAGCATGTGCAAGGAGGAGTTGGAGCCAAAGTCGCTCTTTGCTGCTCCCGGGGAGAGCCAGCAGCCTGAGGTAGAGGAGGGGGCGGGGGAGAGGGAGCAAGAGGAGACGGAGGAACAGTGGGAGGAAGAGGAGGCCGAGTTACTCCGGTGTAAGCCCGGCGGTTTGGAGGCCTTAGCAACAGATGGTACAGGAACCACCAAAGACTCCATGGAGCTCAGGGGCTTCGACCTCACTCCGTCCCTCCGCTCTCTTCCTCTCTCTTCCTCAGTGATCGCCTCCATCTCCGGTTCGTCAATTACACAGTTGTTGAGTTTTATAACCGGGAGATTAAATGCAGAGAGAGAGGAGGAGACAATGGAGCGTGCATGGTGTCCTCCTTTCTCCCCATCTCCATCCACGGACCACTGGTGGCGTACCGCATCCGAGTGAGCCCTCCCGAGCCCCGGGCCGCGGTAAGAGCGATCCTTGTAGAGCGGTGCCAAAAGCCCCGCAAAGCTACAATCCAGCTTAGCCTGCCCCCCGTGTCGGTGAGACTCCTCGTCCCCTAGCAGCACCTCCTCCTCTTCGGCCGACCCGCCGGACCGATTGGAGAACGCCAGGAGGGAGTTACTGCCCAGTCGTCCTGCGTTATCAGCTCCAAACGTTCGAAGATCCCCAACTTCCCTTCCAAAGGCGCTGTTGCTGTGATGGTGTTGCTTCTGCTCTTTCTGCCTGAGGCGATGGATGTCAATGACGGTGGAGTACATGTCTCTCATGTGGATTATCTAGTGCAGAAGAGAAAATATGTCATAAGTAGAAGCAGAAAGCTTTATTTTGGGATTACCTGAGAATATGTTTAATATTTGATTATATCATTTTATAGTTTGAATTTGTTGGTTGGAGGTCTGTGACCTTGAAATACTCTCATGTATTACCTGGAAGAGGGGAAGGCAGAAGGATAGGATTAATGGAATCAAGGAAGGGGGAGAGAGGGCATAAGAGTAGAACAAATATGATCAGAGGAGAATTACAGAGATAGAGGGAATGAGGTTGGCTGAAATATGATTTGCATGTGAGTTATGTAGAGATGATGACTGCACTGTGCATGCACCTCAGTTTGTAGAGAGTGCAGGAAGAACTGAAATGAGAACACCAAATCGGGGAGAAATATTAACTTCATTTTCTATTGACTCATGTTGCTGAATTGAAACACCTGTTTGACATTGTACCTCGTAACCTGTGAAGAAACCATTTCGGAACAAATCACTGTTTCGCAACTTGGAAGGCAATATCAGTTCTGCGTTTATGTTTCCCAGTACTTTTGGCCTTCGGCATGTCGACCTTAAATAAATCAACTGGCAACTCTAGTATTACATTTCTCCGGCAGTGTCAGGTAGACACTAATGCATGTCCAAGCATTTGCGGGATTTCAGTCTTACCTTAGTTTCTCTGTCTCTGTTTTCATGAAGAATGGCATTAGCACAGATGAAGATGAAAATCCCAATGCCCATTGTGAATGGCCCGAACATCTTCATCCGCTCAGAGTGACGGTGCTGTTCCAGGAACCGTGCCAGAGCACCTGCGATCTGCTTAGTGGGCGTATCTACATGCAAAGCACATTGAAGGTATGAGCTATTACATATGAGGAATGTTGATTTATAAGCCATGGAGCAGAACAAATGAAGTACTAAGAGACACAAAGATGAGCACTGACTCCTTTTAGGACAAATCAACCTTCAGAATCTAGCTTCAACTTTCAGGTCTGACGACTAAATTCAGTGGAAGATGGTCTTACACCTGCAATCCCTTTATTGGCAACAGCGGCTGGTCATTGGATTGACTTATTGTCTGAAGTCTGATTGTATAGAATTCTAATAGAAAACTGCCCTCTTTTTTACATTAACACAGTTTGCAAATTATGTAATGGTCCCAATCAACAGTTTCAAGTCTTCCTTATAATATATATTTTGTATATATATAGTCATATATACAGTATATATAAGTCAAATCGATGATAAAGCTGGATATCCTTCAGGGCTGGTCAGGTTGCCTGGTTTGAGTGTTGTCCGTGTTTCACTATTATAACTTTATTCCTTTTAAACCTGTATAATAAATTAATGAAAGTAACATTTTAGTCTCCTGAGAAATATCTTGTTCAGCATTTGGTTGTACTTGGCTTCAACCTCTTGTGTAACTTCTGGTTTCATAGAACCAGATGGCGATGGCCAGAATTATAAACTCAAAGCTCAAGACCGTCCTCAAACCAATGGGTGATGTCATAGTGACTAGATCTACTTCTTATGTGTAGTCTATGCTCAATGCCAATGTAACTTAACAACCCTGGTTGACTTTCATCCCATATTTCATTTACCTGGAACAATTTGACCCTTGCTGGAATTAGCCACGTCCTCATCTGTGAAGGCGATCTTGGCTGCATTTCCTTCCCCTGTTGCAGACGTTTTAGCTCCTCTTCCAGTTGCCGACCTTTCCGAGGGAATGTTTCTATGGTGCGGCCAGTAACCCAGCGTCGCCATGGCGATCCCTACAGATAATACGACCAGTCCAAGAATGAGGAAAAATCCGGAGGCAGAGTAGAGGCGTAGCCTGCCGCGTACTATGACAACATCAGTGCGTCGTTTCCGCTTTCTAATGAGACGTATGGAAAGAGAACAGAATTTGTAGTTTTTGGAGACAATATATGACATCATTACAGCCATTATACAAAACATAAGCAGAGGGAAATGAATACAATTACCTGGGGGCAGCTTCTGGGGCATTTCCTTGGCCTGGCGTTGCATGTAAGTTCCGGTTATGAGAGCGGGCGGAGTCTTGCCGTTTTAGCTTAGCCAATCCAGTTAGCACACCTGCTGCTGCCATTCTTAACCTGTAGAAACACATCGGAAGAAAACTAGTCATTTAACAAACACTCAAAAATAAATATGTGAAAGAATGGTTTTTACAACCGTTTGATATAGTTTCATTATGCAGATATATTAGCATTAAATAAAAATACTATCTGCAACCATATTTAAAACCGCTCAAGGGATGCACATATGTATTTCCACACAGCCAAAGTCTCCCAGATGCTTTGAATATAGGAGGTTTAAGACACTCTATATTCGGAGTGCAGCATGTCTCACAACTGAGCAGCTTTTTGTCTTCTTTTAAACAAATAGAGTTGCAGGCTTGTCTCATACAACAGTGACTTTTGAAAAGCTGCAGATGACAGTTTATTATTTACACACCTTTTTAGGCAAAGTGTGTCAGACTTGTGTCAGCGTCTTTACGAGTTCGTGAAATTCCATTTACAGTTTTAGTAGTGTTACAGATGTATGCACACAAACATACACACACACACCAATTGCAATCTTCTGCATCTGGTGGGATTTTTGTTATTAGCTGTCAGCCTTAAGGACAACATCGGCAGGGGGATCCGTGTGTCTGTGTGTGTGTGTGTGTGTGTGTGTGTGTGTGTGTGTGTGTGTGTGTGTGTGTGTGTGTGTGTGTGTGTGTGTGTGTGTGTGTGTGTGTGTGTGTGTGTGTATACTGTGTGTTGTCATACAGTTACCCCTGCATGATTTTTGTTTGCTGCATACTTCCTGTGTTTATGAGAGAGAAATTAAGTAAACAGGATAAGAGGTATAATAATAGAACTCAAACAGACAGGGAGAGGAACACACTTGGCTTGTGTTTTTTTATTCTTGGACTGTTAAATGCAAATTACATTTTCTTTCTTGGCATTATTGTCGCTATTTACGTTGGTGTTGCAGTTATAAAATTGGAATTACAGTGCAGCATTCATGCCATAATATTAAAACGAATCATATTCCCTCTGCTCACCAGCTGCTTGGATGTCTATTAATAGTTATTATTCCAGGAGTCTTCATTTGTTTTTAAATTCCTGTTAATCTGGGTTTACATGAACATTAGCATTGTCCTGTTTAGCTCTAAGAGGATTAAACCACTATATGTAATGTTGAATACCGGTGGTGGATGGCAATTTTAAAAGAATACTTCTTCAGATCTGGGTAGAATGACTTCATCGCTGCAGATTATTTGGCTTTTTTTATTGTTGCTTCTTCATTTCTTTAACTTTAACATTTTGGGTAAAAAATGTAAAACTACATGTGACCACATTGATCCCCAACAGAGGTTTTACGTATCAACAAGTAAAATCACCAGTGAGCAGCAGTGAAAACTTGTAAGATTGTTTGAATCGCCACCAAGAACGTGTTAAACATATTTAGATCATTTCCACATTTTACTTAGTAAGCTAAAGACATAGTTTTATGACCATAACTCTCTTCAATTTCCCAAATTATTTTTATAATTTCCTGAGAAATAAGAAAGTCAACTCGAGGTGGAGCTACCAAAAGTTTCTTAACTCTTGCAGAACAGTAAATCCCACTCCATAGTACGTTGAAGGCTTTTGCCATTGTCTATTATTATCACAGGTAGCGCACCCTAAACACTAAATAAGAGCAATCGTGGCCATTAGTGACGTATTATTTTCAATACAACTGGAATATTGTTGGTTATTATCATTCATTTTTAAGGATTGCTTCAATGTTTCTCCGGTTTTAATATTGGTTTTCTGTGTCGTGTGCATTTTTGTGTGGATAACCGCGTCCATAATAGGATAAAAACCCACGACCTTCGTTTTTCAATTTTTTTTAATTTCCCCCTCTTTGTCCTTGCTTCCACGTCTCTCTCTGTCCCTTTCTTTCTCCAAGAACACACTATCTGATCATCTCATCCATTCTCATCCCTCAGTGTGTGTGCTAATGCATTCTGGTTGTGACCCTGAATAATTTTCTTTACCTCCACTCCATGTCTCTCTGTTTGTATTCCTCCCCCCCCAATCTTCTGTCCCCTCAGATCCATTTTAATCCGTCTCTAATTCGAAATGACCCCTATTTGGTCACTATCCTCTTTCTAATTCCCTTCCTTTTCTTTACTTCCTCATACATCAAGGCAATAAAGATTCAGAGTGAGAAAAAGATATTCAGTAATCAAAGTAACCGTGAATCACACAAAGGACAAGACGTCCTCTACACTCTATCCTCCTTCTCACATCTTCATGTATGTCAATCTTCGCATTGGTAACACTGCTGTAGAAAAGTGTTTCACCGCAGATGGTGAATCACACAAGGACAAACACAACAAGCCTCGCTTCTCGGGTTTTTTCTGCACTCCCTCTGACTCTCTCCCGCTCTCGATTCCTCTCGCTCCTTGGTGAGCGTCAAATCCCACACAATGTATTAAGAGCAGGGGTGGAGATTTCTTCCGTTAACAGACACAAAAAATTGATGGATGGGAGTACAGGGGAAGGATAGAGTAAAGGAGATAAAACAGACCAGCAGTAGAAATGGAGGGTCGACAAAGATGGAGATGAAAAGGGATGTTAAAGTACTTTTTTAGTAAGTAACTGGGTACCACACTGAGTCATGACATGAAACTGAAAGCTTGTACAAAAAGCTAAAATGGACAAAAAGTTGTAACTTCAAAGCGGACAAAGTAGAGTGAATTGAAAGGCCTGACAATAAAGGATAGTGCTTTTGCTGCCAGTGATGACAAGACAGAAGTGGAAAACAAGCCAAGTGCATCTGTCATTTTAACAAGGAAGGAGTGAAACGCTGCTGAAACAGACACAACGGCGGCCTAATGAGAAACCACTTGGGCCCCGACACAACGCTGTGGAGAGTGAGCGGTGACCACATGAAACCACACATTCATATTCAGTTACCATCCTCAACACCAAGCGTCCAATCAGTGGGGCTGTGCATGGAAACCTCTTCTTTGCATACAGAATATGCATTAGAAGAAATCCTTCAGTGTGTCTTAAGAGTGAAATTAGCCATGTATTCTGCAGCATTTTTGGTGTGAATTCACAGGCTGTGTGAATATTAATGTGTCCACCTCCTGTCACATACAACGTTTGAATTATGCACGCCATTTTCCACTTCATCGCCTTAATAATCGGTTTCCTAAATTAGTGCTTAATGAATCGTGAATTAGCCTCCTAATGATAACCCTAATACTGAAACTACTTGGCTAAATTATTCCTGCTGTTTGTCTTTGCACACTCACAGCAAGGCAAGAAAACTACAGAAACAATTTAATATACAGTACATGTCATCCCTCAGGGAGAATCTATTTTGTAACTGGAGTTATTTAAACTCGAACACATTTTTTAAATGTGCTTTTCTGAGAAGATTTTTACCTCTTTACATCGTGATGTTATCTATATCATCTATAGGAGAAGGCACGTGATGTATTGTCCCTATAGCAACTATGTGTTCTGCTGCTAGATGGCACGTTTCTATAGCAACAACCAGCTGTGTGCAAAGGAATGGCAGGTGTAACATAATTACAGTAAATCCTTTTAACGAAAGCATTTCTCAGGTGACCTCTGGATTATTTTTTTATTATGTCACAGCGCATAAGTTGAAATGATTTCAGTCCTCTTCCCCTGTCACTTTCAAAGAGGCATGATTGAGTGGGGTAGGAAATGAAGAGGCACCTAAGGATGCTGGAGTAGAATTGGGGGTTGGGAAGTGAGATGAAATGGGAAGAGAAAGGAGGTGGTGAAAGGAAGACACCAAGGAGGAAGAGAGAGGAAGTGAGAAACGGAGAGTTTGACACAAAAGGGGCTTGCTAAAATATAAAAATAAAATTCCACTCATAATTGGCATCGAGTTTGGGTGTTAATTACATCTTGTTTATGTGATTTGAGCTGAAGAGAGAAAACGACGAAGAGTTTGGAAGAGGCACGAGAACAGGACATGTGAATAATAAGATACATGTAAGTTAAGGAATGACAGCCTGAGGGGGAAGAAAAAGAGTAAAGGACATGTTTTGAACAACATGTAACAAACTCCAGAGACTTCTCTGACTCTATAAGCACGCTGAGAAAAGTTTGTCTCCAATGACTCACCTCAGTGAACTGTATGCTAACACGTCATGGAGAAAGGCATCTAACATGGACACATAGAGGAAGAAGGAAAGCTGGAAGGAGAAAGGTAAAGAGAGGAATGATCCAGGAGCAAGGCTTGGGAGAGAAAATGTTCATTATGTCTATTGTCTACCATTATAGGTACACTTTGTTACTGTGTCATAAACCTCTATAGGGAGGTTTACCAAGTGCTCTAATAAATGTAAAAAAAAACACAACAACGTGCTCGTACTGTTTTTTTTTTTTACCTGAGCTGTTTTTGAATGGAGACTGTCACTACCCGATCTGCCGCCCTGCCCTATCTGCAGTGCGTATGTGCGAGATGGTCCGCCACTACATACAACAACCCAAGTAGGACACTTGGCACAGTGGCTTTTGGCAAAGCACAAAAAGAAAACTCGAGAAAGATGAGTTATTGTTATTACAACGTGACTTCACTATTATTTAACAACTCTTTTTATTGGGTTATTTTATTTGGGGTTAAGTACATTGTCAGAATAAGTGAGAAATGAATTTAACTTCTGTTAGACAGCTATATGCCATACATTTTTGCATACATTCACAGTAAATATTTATTCAGTAGATAGCTGTCTAACAGAAGTTAGATTCATTTATCACTTATTCTGATAACAACCGCATTCATACTGTATGTGTGTGTGTGTGTGTGTGTGTGTTGAGATCATAATATATCGGAGGACTAAAAATTAGGATCATAATCAATAACAGTGGTAAAGGTATCGGATGGATGGGTTTTTAATTAAATAAGGTGGTCGGCGGTGGACGAGTGTCGTGAATATAGGAAGCGGTAGTAGGGACGTCTCGGGCCAGATAGATCTACCTCCCCTCTCGTCTCTTCCCTGGTATTTCAAACTTCGACGCAAGTGAGTTCTTACTGAATCAAAGAGATTCCCTAGGATCGCGTTTG